AGACTGCTGGGATTATAGGTGTGCACTACCATGCCTGGATACTTTCAATGTTTTTCAGTCTTTCAGGATAATGTATTTCTCCTATAGGTAGTATATAATTGGATTTGGGGTTTTTTTTTTTTTTTTTTTTTTTTTTTTTGGTACCAGGGATTAGAACTCGGGTCTTTGCACTTGCAAGGCAGGCCACCAAACCACTGAGCTAAATCCCCGGCCCTGGATTTGGGGTTTTTAAAATCCAGCTCTATACTGTCTGCCTTTTGCTTGGATTATTTAATCCATTTGCATTTAATGTTGTATATAATTGGATTTAGGTCTGCCATTTACTTTTGTTTATTTGTTTTGAGACAGTCTCACTATGTAGTTAAGACTGACGTGGAACTCACTATGTAGGCCAGACTGGTCTTGAACTCACAGCGATGCCTCAGTCTCCCGAGTGCTGGGATTACAGGTGTGCGCTACCACGCCTGGCTGCCATTTACTTTTGTTTTCTGTTTCTTTTCTTTTTTGTTTCTCCAGTCCTTTTTTCTCATTTAAATGGCTATTATCTTGGGCAGGGGTTTTGGCTCAGTGGTTCAGCTGCCCGGTACCAAAAAAAAAAAAAAAGGTATGGTCTAGTGCAGTGATGGTGAACCTTTTAGAGCTTTCAGTGATAGAAACATCCTGCCATGGCAGCATGCCATAGGTTCACCACCACTGTCCTAGTATAATCATTCCTTTATTTTTTTAACATATTCTTTTGAATTTTTTTCTTAGTGGTTGCTTTTAGAGCTTACAATATAAATATGATGCCTACTTTACATTTATATTAACTTATTGAAGTGAGATAAGTAGGCCTTTCTTTTATGTAGCTTAAGAGTTCTTACCTCTTTGTGCATATGTGTGTATACATACACATGGTCTTATTGCTGTTATCGCATCTATAGTATAGTTTTAGTATATGTTATAGTTATATAGTGGTGTGTTTTTAAAAAAAGCTGCAGGAGAGCAAAGATATAATTTAGCTTTTATATTACCTCATTGTATGTCATTCTAGCTTTCATTTGTTCCCATAAAAGCATGCTAACATCTTAAGTCATGACTTCTTCGTGCAATACAGTTTTGTTTCCACATACATTCTGTGTGCTAATATTTGCAAAAATGTTAAATTTCTGCATACTAGTCTAAAAATAAAATTTTATGTATAGTTGTATACAGATGGTTTTTTAAAATTTCTGGAGAGAAGAAAAATAAGATGCATTTTATGTTGTGAAACTATACTGGATAATTACCTTTACCATTGCTCTTTGTTCTTACATGTGAATTTGAGTTACTGTCTGAGGTTGTTTGTCTTCATCCTGAAGAACTTCAGTTAGTATGTCTTGGGGTGATGTATCTACTAGCCTTGCATACGCTTAGTTTTTGTTATCTGGGAATGTTTTCATTTTTTTAAAAAACATTTTTACTATGATGTATATTGATACGGTTCTTTGTATTTATTCTGCTTGAAATTTTGTTGAGCTTTTTAGATGTTTAGATTGTTTTGCATCAAATTTGAGAAGCTTTCAGTCATTATTTCTTTGAATATTTTTTCTGTCTCTCCCCATTTCCTTACCTTCTGGTGCTCACATGATATCATTGTTAATGTTCTTGTTGGTCTTCCATGTTTTCTGAGGTTCTGTTCAGTTTTTTTTTTCATTTCTTTTTCTGTGGATTGCATACTTTCTATTGGTCTGTCTTCAAGTTTGCTTTTTTTTTTTTTGACAGTTGAAATCCTTTTTGGAACTCATCTTGTGAATTTATTTCAGGTACTATACTTGTTAACTAAAAAATTCCCCTCCCCTTCCCCTCCTTTTTATTTTTTTCTTTTCTTGATGTTGGGGATTGAACCAAGGACCTCACACATGCTAAGCAAGCATTCTGCTACTGAGCTACCCTCCCTGCCCCTCCATTTTTAAAGGAAAATATTTGTCTATCTATGGTGGCACTGGGAATCAAACCCCAAGGGCACTCTACCACTCAAGTAAATTCCCAACACCTTTTATTTTGAGACAGAGTCTTGCTGAGTTACCAGAGCTGGGCTTGAACTTGTGATCCTTCTGCCTTAACCTCTTGATGAACTGGAATTACAGATGTATGCCACTGTTTGTTTTCTTTTTTGAGATAGAGTCTTACTGTGTTACCCAGGCTGGCCTAGAATCCTTGAGTTCTAAGGATTCTCCTCAGCTTTCCCAAATAGAGCAGCTGGAAGTACAGGCATGGACCATCACTCACTCCTGGCTTCTAGCGACATTCTTTATTTAAGATATCATTATTGTGTTTTCTTCCATTGCTTTATTGCTTATTGTAGTCTTTTGAATACATTTGTAATGAGTAGTCTGGAGTCTCTGTTCATTAAGTCTGACATCCAATCCCCCTCAAAGGTGGTGCTTTTTGTTGCCTGCTTTTTTCTCCCTTGTAACAGTTAATGTGTCATGCTTTTCTGTTTACATGTCTCAATTTGTTAGTAAAAACTGGACATTTTAGATAGTATAGTTTAGCAACTTTAGATACTGATTCCTACTTGTGTGTGTGGGTGTGTGGCTGGACTGTGGAGTGTATCCTCTCCCACATAAGAAGCCCCTGATGTTGCTCCTCAAAAGACACAGCCTTGGGTACACACGTGGTCATCTTGGACAGGGCTGTCTTTTTTGTTCTCTGGTCTCTGTTTTCTTCTGCTGGTGTCACATTCAGCTGCGAGGATCCACTGCTCGCCAGCTGATTACTTTATTCTTTTCAACAGTGCCTGAAGACAGTGGTGATGTACTTGTGGCATGCATGCTGCAGCAGGCTGTTTGTATCATTGAAAGCTCTGAAAGGTTAACCATCACTGCCCTAACTTGCTGCACAGATTTATCCAGTGAATTTCTGGCTCCTTTATAAGTATAGTTTTTGAGGCCAGTGTTTGAGGTTTTAACCTGGAGGACCCTTCTTAGTTTTCTGTTGGTTCTCTGGTGTGTACCTATGGTTTAGCTTCAGTCTCTCATGAAATGATCACTCTCCACTGTACTTGAGAATGTCCTTGATCTTCATCACAATTTATTTGAAATAGTTTTGAACCTTTAGGGAGAGATTTGGAACAAGTGGCATGCTTCTCTCTGAGTGACACCTTTGCTTTAGGACGAGGATACTGGGTGAAGGTATGTGGTACACTGGTCTTCCCTGTTTGAGTCCATCAACATAAAACCTCAGTCCTGTGAGAGCTGGGGCTGGGGCCATTGGAGTCCAGGCATTCTCAGTGTACCATCCCTGAAGTAGAACCTTCTTTTTATGAGTGGGGATGGGTGAAGGAAGGGAGCCTCCAACCTCTTGGATGTACTTGTCATGAATTTATCCTCTTCAATATGTAGGGTGTGGTTCTTAGAGAGGGATGAGAAATGCTGAAGCGCTGCTCCCAGGAAGATACCATAGCCTTTGCTGGAAGCTTAGGAGAGAGGGAGCCTTGTGTTCTTGGCCACATTTCCAGGTTGCAGTTTCTGTCATGCTAAGCTGAGACAGAGAGGGGGGTTGGGTTGTTGTTCAGATGCCACTGATTCTTGCTGTTCTTTATGATTTCCTGTAGATCTTCTTTGATGATCATGTTTTTCCCTTCTGTATTATTTAGGTTGTTGTTGTTTTTAATAATGTTCATCATATGTTTACTTTGTTGGGGAATAGGTTTGAAGAGCTTCTCATGCTGCATTATGGATTTTGTTTGCTTGTACTTTGAATATATGTGAACTAAAATTTTATTCCACTTTGTGCTATATCTTTTAACTAATGACATCCTTTGCTAATCAGAAAGTTTTAGTTTTAACATAATTGAATGTATCAGATTTTACTTTTTTTTTTTATTTTTGGTATTGGGGATTGAACTTGGGACCTTGTGCTTGCCAGGCAGGTGGTGGAACCACCAAGCTAAATCCTTAGCCTCAGATTTTACTTATTTTAAAGAAGTCCTTCCCTGTCTCAAGTTCAAAAGATAATTTTCTACATTGTTTAAGAGTTAAATTTAGTTTTACTTTTGTATTATTAATGTTGTGTGGGTTTTAGTGAATGTTTGAGAAACAGGTGTCCAATTTCCTATTTTTTCCATCTAAACAACTAATTGACCTGACCTTATTTATTTTGTAGTCAGTTCTTTCCTTACAAGTCTGTAGAGCCTCATAAAAAAATAACACAGGTCGAGAATCTCTAATCCAAAATCTAAAACTTTTTTTGTGCAGTACTAGAGATTGAATCCAGGATTTCTCACTGAACTATTTCCCCAGTTTTTTTCTCTTTAAAAAAAAAAAAATTGAGACAGGCTGTCACCTAATCACTGAATTTCCCAGGGTGGGGATAAACTTTTGATCCTCCTGTGTCAGACTGCCATAGCACTGGGATTATAGTCACGTGCCATTATACCTGGCTCAAAATCTTTGGATTTTAGGCATATTGAATTTTGATATGCTCAATTGTTAAAGCGTATGTAAATGTTTAAAAATCCAAAAAATTCAAAAAAATCTGAAGCACTGTGGGGCCCAAACATTTTTTGGATAAGTGATACTCACTTGAGCCTATTTTGTGGTTCTGTCTTCTATACTCCTGGTCATCTTGTTTAGTCTTGGGCTCTTACCATATAAATTTATTAATAATACAGCTTTAGAGTTTTGATATCATGAAGAAAAAGTATTTTGTCTTCTTCAAGAATGTTTTACTGGGGCCGGGGATTTGGCTCAGTGGTTCCGGCACCTGCCTTGCAAGTATAAGGACCCCAGGTCGATCCCCAGTACCAAAAACAAACAAACAAAAGAATGTTTTATTGTATGCTTATTAGAGTTTTAACATGTTAAATAGCTTTCAGTGAAAACATTTTTACCACATTCTTTATGGTAATTAACAGGCATGGAATTCATTGTGTACTAAGCATTTATTTAGTGTTGAAATGGGAGAAGAAAGTACTGTGCATGATGTTTATATTTATTAGCTCAGAAGTCACATTTTTTTTTTCTTTGTAACTGCAGGAACAGTTTTGATCAAAAGTAACAGCGGTCAGTTGATGTTGGTGTCTCCTCAGCAAGGGGTGACGAGAGCAGAGACCCCACGAACCGTAACTCCCAGGCCAGCAGTACCAGTGAACACGCAAACTGTCAAAATCTGTGCAATGACGGTAATATACCTTAATTGTCCTCCATTTCTCAGCTGACCTCGTCATATAAAGGTGTATGTATTTGTTAGCAAAAATAATTTGAGATGATTAAACTCAACTTTTTAAAGTAAGTGGCTTTCTTCAAATATGCTAATTTAGTTGAGTTTTGTTTAGTCATTTGATAATTGCTAACGTAATGAAAATTCAATCTTTGTACTCAAAGATTTTACATTTCTCAAAGGACATGCTCAAAAGGATGATTTGCATCTTGAAAGAAGATAACCATTCTGCTTCAGTTTAATTTGTGGTAAAATAGTGAGACTCTTGTGTATAGTATTCATTGTCATCCATACCTTATAGAAATTAAGACATACAGAAACCTGCTGTGATATTTCATTAGCTTTACATTGTTAGAAAATGATTTATTTCACATACCTGGTGATCTTTCTAGGTGACTGAAGTGAAGAGTGATAGAATTTTTAAAACACTTCTGTGAATATTTAAACACAAAATGCTAGATATAGTTGAACATATTCATAATGACTCAGCCATTTGAATTAAAAATTTCATTTTTGGTGTTAATATTATCCTTTGCCCATTTTATATGTTTTTATGTTCTACTAATTTGATTCTAGGTGCTCAGCCAGTTATTTACTCTGTCAGTAATACTTGCTTTTTCTCTTTCTAATTTGCTTTATCTGTAGGTTAAGAATATAGAGTAGCAGGGCTGGGGATTTAGCTCAGTGGTACAGTGCCTGCCTCGCAAGCGCAAGGTCCTGAGTTTGATCCCTAGTACCCCCCCATATGTAGATAGATAGATGGAATGGACACAAGAGAGAGAGAGAGAGAGAGAGAGAGAGAGAGAGAGAGACAGGGAGTATAGCAGGTTTTTGTTTAAATATTAAATATTAATTTATGTGGCTTCTGTATAGTCAGAGTCAAGTTTAAGATTTTTTTTTATTTGTTTGTTTTTTTGCGATAGGGTCTCATATGTAGTTGAGACTGACCTGGAACTCACTGTGTAGCCCAGGCTGGTCTCGAACTCACAGCGATCCTCCTGCCTCAGCCTCCCGAGTGCTGGGATCACAGGCGTGCGCCACCACGCCTGGCTAAAGTTTAAGATTTTAGTGTGGACTACTCTAGTGCTTAGTGTGAGATTTCACATGAAAGGGGTATTTATTGAATCACTTGCCTCCTTAGAAATATGAAATGAATGTCAATTGATGATTTCTGTGCATAAAAACGTTAATATTATAAAGTCAGTTGCAACAAATAAGTTTCTAATGGGAAATTGTTCTCATGTTCTCCACAGTACTGACTGATTATAAATGACTAATAATGGTGACTTTGTTATCTTGTCCCTTCCTCCTCAGAATTCTAGCTCACAGGTAATCAAGAAAGTGGCAGTGGCACCTGTTAAAACATTGGAACAGAGAGGAGCTACTGTGGTCACCACTGTTCCAAACCCTTCCTCAGTACAAGTGAGTTGTGGCTTACATGTGGTTACATGCGCCCTGGTTGTTTTTGTATCTTTCTTCGTTATTTAGCTATTGCCTGCCAAATGTGTAAATTGCTGAATATATGACACTAAAGAGAGCAGTTCACTGATACACGATGACACTTACTAAAGTGGAAATGCTGTAGATATGGGAAACAAGAAAATATGGCGTATATTCTTGGATATATTTTAATGAAATGTATGAAATTAATGCAAATACATCTAATAGCCATGTGTCGTGGTCTCTTAAAGTAGGTGCTGAGATAGAATTTGGAGTCTGAGATATTTATTATGGATTAGTACCTGTGGAATGGAAGAAGAACAAGAATTCAAACTAGATGTAGGCCCAATAAAGCTTCAGCCAACCTAGTGGAGAAGGTGGAGCACATAGGCTTGTCAGCATTGTCCCATCTGGGCTGACATAGTCAGATGGGCCTTCCTGCCGGGAGTAGTCACTGGATTTGGGCTGTCTTGGGAAAGTTGTACTTTTGAGCAAGGTCAGTATCTTCAACTGAGGCAAACCCAGTGGAGCTGACGACTGGAAGCTGTCCAGGAGTGCTCCCAGTGGCTAGGACCATGCAGATGCATCCTTGTGATGGCTCATCCCAGTTTGCTCCTTGTATCACTTGGATCCACTGCCATGTACGTGTTGTAATAGGGTGGGCGGCCGCTCTGCTGCTACAGCTGATCTTGAGCCACAGCTGACACTAATCATCTCCTTCTGCTATCCACTTCAAGTTACCTCACCTTCAACTACCAACTGTGCCAAGCTTGGTAATATTATTGGGCAAAAGACCATCATACTATCTCATTAATTATTTAGACTAGCAGTACATTAGCAGTGTTTTCATTGAGTATATTTTTTAAACATTGAGTACACATTTAATGCCATTGGTTAAAGAAAGATATTGCAGAGAGAAAACACTTTTAGCAACATGGTCTTAAATACTTAGGATTGCTATTTGTACATTGAGTTTCCATGACATGAATAACAAGTTGTGCTGGGTAACTGAAGGAACTCCATTTATACTCATCATTCAGGGATAAAGGGGATTTCTTGGAAGTTACTTCTTAAATTGTATCAGACCGAATTACATTTCAAGGAGAGTGATTTTCTATACCCGTCTGAAAGAATAGTCATTTTAGGATTGTTAATATTTTATTACAGGTACTAATTCTCCACATCCATAGACCTTAATCTTCCCCTTGCTTGCTGAAGCTATGGTCCCATGTCTGTGCCCTCTGGACATGAAATCTTAACAGTTCTAGAAAGTGAAAGCTTGTGTTCACTTAGTTATTAAATGAAATTGGTGGACACTAATTACATTTGTAATTTTTATAAAAAGGACATTTAAGAGTCTGAATTCAGATAGGTAGAAGAGTCTTTATTAAGCGCAAACTGAAACTAAGAATTTCTTTTAATTGAATATAGTCTCGAAACTGGAAGTATGGAGTATTACACTGTGCTAGTGCATACCCGAGACTCTCACGGTAGAAATCACTGAGTTTTAAAGATTTTTCTCAAACATTACAATTACCTTGAATTGTTCATACTTAATTATCATTTTGTGATAGTTATTAGCGTCACTGTCAATCTGTATTTTGTTTTTTGTGGTACTGGGGATTGAACTTGGGGAGTGCTAAACTCTATCCCCAGCCGTTTCTAAAATTTTGAAACCAGATTTGCTAATTTGCCCCAGCTGGTCTCATACTCTGTCTTCCTGCCTCCACCTCCCTAGTGATTACAGAGAGGTGCCACTGTTCAGCCTCCAGTCTTATTTAGTATACTGATAAAGAAGTTGTATAGCAAAGAAAAATTTAGTAATATATTTGTTAAAATGGTATATTTGGGTTGCTTCATATGTATTGTTCTTGGATTATTTTTCCATACACTAGTATATGTCTGCAATTGATCATTATTATTTCCTTGTGGATTGCTTTTCCTAATTTATATTGATGCATATTTTAAGTTGGGTTATTCCTCGGTGATAGTCTAGGGCAGTAGAAATTATCAGAGTGTAATTAATGATTCTGTATCCACTTTGAGAGGCAAAGCATCTTAATTTGGGATACTTCTTAGAAATGAGAACTGTGAAATGAGACAACATAGGACTCCTTGTTCTTGATTATTTGACTAGAGAGGCAAATTTGTATGTTAAGAAATTTTGAAATAGGTATTTTCCTTTTAGCAATATTTGTTTAAAATGGCTTGAAACATGACCCACTAGTAAATGTAACATGAAAACTATTTTAAAAATATTATGTTCAGTTTTAGACCATATGAGTGGGAAAGATAGTTTTTCTCATTGTTAGATTAGAATGTAAGTGTGAAAATGATCTTTTTAAAAGAATTAGTATTTATAATCAAATATGAACAATCCTAAAATGACTCCTCTTTGAGACAGGTATAGAAAATCACTCTCCTTGAAATGTAATTTGGCCTGCTAAATTTGCATACAGTGTACTTTTCTATCTCTAAGTATAACTGCTTTTCACATACATTTGTTTAACATGTACTCCAGCCTTTTGATTCCTATCCCCAAGGCATGCCTAATCAATGCGGCACAGTCTTGCAAAGAATGGCAAGACTATTGGCTGGGTACTGAGTCTTACTGAGTCTTAAGTTATGATTAAATATAAGAGGGTCCATCCAACACTGGAATAGGAAGACCAGGATTATATACCTTGCAATGTCCCTAAACAAGTGCACCTAGTTTGCAAGGTACATGTATTTGGTAAGGTACAAGTGGTGGCTTTATTAGAAAGCATTTTAAAGGACAGATTTGTATTAGAGTGTGTTAGTCAGCAGTACCAGAGGTAAATCAGCTTGGAAAGGTTTTGGACATGTGTAATCCCAGCACTTGGGAAGTAGAAGCACAAGGATCATGAGTTTGAGGCCAGCCTGGGCTACACACTGAGACACTGGGGACAGAGGAAGGCAGCAGAAGGGGAGGGTAAGGGGGAGGTGGAGGAGGCGGGGGAGAGGAGGAGGGAGGTTGAGTGGAGGTTTCAGGTGTGAGGAACCATGAGAGATAGGAGGGGGCCATTAGGAGTCCCAGTAGCTACTGAAGTGCACATTCCCGGTGACTGGAAGTCTTCCCAGGGTTCCTTCCATCTCTTAGGTATCCCACCTCCTCCCAATAGCGCCATGGGCTGGGAACCAGGCTTTTGACACATGAGCCCTTGGAGAACATTTCAGATGCAAGGTATAGTGTGGAGAGAAGGTGAAATACTGACAAGAAAAGTAAAAGTACTTGTGCCAAAGTACTTCCTCTTCTCACAAACAGGACGCTTTTCCTCACCTCACGTCATTGCATCTTGTGTTCCAGGGAACAGACCTGCTCGGGAGCCCCTCTCACCAGCCACCAGAGACATAATTGCTAGCCAAAACTCTAGGTTATGCTTTCTTAATTATAGTATAAATGAGAGCTTATGACTGATTATAAGGTACTCTAAAGAGTCTTATTTACTGTATATAATCTAGAAGTTCATTAAAAAATCTGGAAGGATTCAGAAGAAACTGTACAGTTGTTGCCTCTGGAAAGTAGGAGTGAGGGTATGAACAGGAGGAGGGTGACTTCGTTTTGATGTTGCTTTTAAGGCTTTCTCTATTTAATAGAATTTTACTAATTTAGTTGTAATTTGTGGTTTTACCTCTTTTGTTCAATATTTTGTCATTAGTTCTAGTCCTTATCAGTATTTTACATTTCCTTTCCTTTTACCCTCAAAACATTTTTGTGTAATGTTATGTGCCAGTCTTACTAAAGTGGATAATTCTGAAATGCATTCAAATTGATCTAAAGTATTGCAGAAGGAAATTTTCTTGAGGATTATAGAAACCTGATTTTTCTGTGTATGTGCTTGCAGAACACAAGCATTTAAATTAAAATCTTGGTGCAGTATTCACTTTTCGGTGTGAATTGTGAATACTGTTCTTTCCCATCTGCCTTCCATGCCAAGCTTTTCTTATGTCCAGAAACTTTTAATATTTGAGACAGTGTGGTTTTCTGAATTATCATGTTGTGATTTCTTGTATTAAAAATTTTGCCCTGCAGGTGGTGCTAGAGTCACACCTCATTTCAGTAGAGGGTGCGAGAAACGAGTTGCTTTTCAGTGTGAACATTTGTAATATCCTTTATGCTTATTTTAATGGTCCATATAAAAGCAGCCTGGTTGAATATAAAGCAGATCACTTTGTTTTCATATAAAGACCTGCAATTTCAGATACTTTGTAGAGAAGCAAGAACAATATTTTTTGAGGATTTTTTTGTTTGTTTTTTGTTTTTTTGTTTTTTGAGACAAGTGCTGGGATTACAGGTGTGTGCCACCACGTCCGGCAAGGAGGACTTTTTAAGGGTACTGGCTTTCATAGACAACTCTAGGGTAGAAGCACTGTTGCTAGCCTCATTTTTACAGACAATAACCGGAGGATTAGCAGGAATAGTAACTTGCCTGTCCTCAGTACTGTAGTAGGTGGCAATAAGAGTAGGGAGGTAGATGAGAATGAAACCTAGATCTGTCTGAGTACCGAGTTCTGTGTTATGTTTTGTAGACTCTTAGGGCATCCTATCAAAGCAAAGATGTCGAGATTCATTGTAGTCTGCTAAGTGTGAAGTGGGGTGCCCAGAAGTACTTATCTCTGTATGTACTGGTTGAATTTCAGTCTGTGTCTGTGCCAGCCAGTGTTGTCACGGTTACTCCAGTAAAGCCAGCGAATACTGTAACTGCCCTGAAGCCTTCAGGTTTGGGAGCACCATGTGCACCCTCCAATGAGCCCAGTTCTAAAGCAGAGAACTCAGCAGCCGCTCAGACTGACCTCTCTCCGGTAAGCTGCCACTTGCCCCTTGTACAAATGCAGTTTCTTGTCAGTGGTTTTGAATCCTGTCTGCTGGCTCATATTTGTGGTTCTTCTATATTTCTCCTCATTTAGGCAATGCTAGAAAATGTGAAGAAATGTCAAAACTTTCTTGCAATGTTAATAAAGCTAGCGTGTAGTGGGTCGCAGTCTCCAGAGATGGGGAAGAATGTGAAGAAGCTGGTGGAACAACTTCTGGTAAGTTGTAAAATGCTGCAAGTTCTATAGGAACCCACAGAGCATGTTAAAAATGGGAATATCTATATATATTTGATGTTGATTTTTTAAAGCCACTTGTTAAACTTTCTTTTTGGTTCTTGAAAACATGTAATGATTATAACATTTACACAATCAAATTTATTATCTGTTACTTTAAAAAACTTTTTATTTCTTATCATATAGATCTAAGTTATACAACATCATGATTTGAATACATATTATTTTATATATACCAGTCTTATTTTCCTACTTTGAAAAGGGCATTAGAGAGAAGGTTAACTTTTTGGTCAATTAGGAAATTGTTACTATATTTTAAAATGCCAGAAAGATGGGCCATGAACAAAAAATGAAATTCATTTCTCATATGACCAAGCCTCACGCTTTAGGACCTGTGGAAATTACATAACTATCTTAGGCCTCAGTTTCCTTATCTACAAGATGAGAAGAATAAGTGGGGTGGTCTTTGAGGTTCCAGCAAGTTCTAATTTGCGGTCTTAACTACCAAATTGCACATCTTTAGTTTCTTATTAGCGTTTTTCAAGTAAAACTTTTCATACACAAAAGAGGATGAAGGTTAATGTTAGCAAATAATTGAATTCTGTGCTCAAGACTTGCTGAGAATATGACAGATGATTGTAATCTTGAATTGTGTGTTAAAGGGCAGGCACTAGGGATAGAACCCAGAGCCTGACACATGGTAGGAACACTCAACCACACCCCTACCCTGATTTTGAGCTTTTTTTGTTGTTGTTGTTGTTACTGGGGATTGAACTAGGGACCTTGAGCTTACAAGGTAGGTGGCGGAAACATTGAGCTAAATCCCCGGCCTCCAAATGGATCTTTAAATCTTTTCGATTTTTTTTGTTTTGGTACTGGGGGCTTGAACTCAGGATCTTGCACTTGGGAGCAAGGGGGTGGGACCACTGAGCTAAATCCCTGGCCCTTGAGCTTTTTGAACTACTATAATCTATAGATTTCTTTGACCATATAACTAATATTTTTTGTGTTTTTAAAATGTAAAATTGGCACCTCTACCAAGTGGAAACCATGAGTATTTCAAATATTGGTTGGGGAAATTAAGTATACATTATCAAAATATATTAGGTCTTTAAAAATATTCTTATAGATATTAAAAATTGAATATATTTGAAATGGTTACTTTCTCATTTGGGAAGATGTTTTTAAGATATTTAAAATTATACATCCTATATACAGATTTTTAATTTAGATTTTGAGTATCTTTTTAAAAGTAAACACTGAACTTGGTTCTTCCCTTTCCAAGGTATGTTAGTTTTGAAAAGGGATATATATATATATATATATATATACACACACACACACACACACACACACACACACACACACACACACACATGTATACACACACACACATATATATACATATATACACACACACACATATACATATACACACACACGCACACACACACAGAGATGGGGGGAAGAAAGAGAGAGAGGGAGAGAGAGACTTGATCCTCTGAAATAAAATACTTAGATGGAGAGACATGATGAAAAACAACATATATTCTGGAAAAGATTTTGAAGTTTTTAAGCCCAGAAAATGTGTATAGATTTTGAGGCAAGATAGCAGTAGCTATGAATTAATCAGATGTCCTTTCTAACTTAAGATTTGTTTATTTTAGAACAGCAACCAATAGTATTCAGATATTTTGGTCTCTGGATACTTTTATGTTCCTAGAAGTCAAGGCTTCCTCTAGGCATTTTTATTTTTCTGTGGACCTGGAATTCAAACTGTGGAATTTAAAAACTTTTATTTTTTAAAGTGATAATAAAGATGTTATGTATTAACTTGGATAAAAAATATTATTCCCAAAACAATAAAATTGAGTGAAGAAACTGGCATTTCTTTACATTTTGTAAATTTTTTTAAATGTACAGCTTATTAGAAGGTACCTGGATTTTCGTACTCTTCTGCATTTAATCTATTTTGTGATATGATTTTTTTTTTTTGGTATCGGGGATCAAATGGGACCTTGTGCTTGTGAGGCTGGTGGGGGAAACCACTGAGCTAAATCCCCAGCCCAGTGTGGTATTTTTTTTTTTTTAGAATATTTGGGAAATATCTGATCTCATTTGAAGAGGTGGTTGGAATAGTAGACATTGCAATAGAATATCCAGGACACTGGATATTCTGTAGCATATGCTGCCTTGTCTTAGATAGGAAATAGATTTTTTACTCATTCAAGATTTTTTTGTCATAATTTGTGTTGGTCATTTGGAAAATACCAGTTCACTGAGTTTCGCAGATTTCCAAATTTTTTCAGCTATTTTATTTAAGATAACAGATAACATGGTCATTAATTTCCCTAACAGTCTTAGCAAAAAATTCTTTTAGGGCCGGGGATTTGGGCTGGGGATTTGGCTCAATGGTTCTGTTGCCTGCTTCGCAAGCGCAAGCTCCTGAGTTCGATCCCCAGTACCCCCCTGCCAAAAAAAATTCTTTTAACTTCTAGGAAACCATCAAGTCCAGAATAGTGATTATAAATTTTCCAAAATTGTAGCTTTGACTTGAGAGCTTTATCATCAGCAACAAATGCTGTCAGTTATTTTCTTTATAGCTACAGGCTTCATTTATTTTTTGAGAAAATGTCTACCAATTCAAACATTTGGTCATTTTTTTGCAGTTGCTTTGTCATTGTTTCCAGTAAAAATGAAAACTAACAGGTGGTTCAGCTGATGACTCAGTGGCAAAGTGCTTTTCCTTGAGCATATTTCTTTGGTTTGCTGCACAAATGCTTTTTGTGTGATTCTTCTTCATGTTCAGAATTGGAAAGATGTCTGCTGAAGAGTAGAAATGTAATAAAATTAATTTTTACTGTTTCATCATGGATGTTTAGAAGAGTAGCTCGCTCTTTTTTAAACTATTTGCATATAGAGAAGTGGAGAATGATGACAGCTATTTTACTTTGCCCTTGCCCTCCTTTTTCCATGTGGCACTAAGGATTAAACCCAGGACATTGCACAGGATAGGCAAATGCCCTATTACTGTGCTGCACCCCCAGTCCTTTCTTTTTTGGTACCTGGGATTGAACTCGGGTCCTTGAGCTTGCCAGGTAAGCAGCAGAACTTCTGAGCTAAATTCCCAGCCTTAACAAATGGATTTACAGTAACATCTGGCCATTTGGATTCTGAGAGCTGTATACCTACCCTTTTCTTTTTTCTTTTGGTACTGGGGATTGAACTGGAGTCCTTGTCCTTGCGAGGCAGGCTGTGGAACCACTGAGCTAAATCCCTAGTCCCTTCTTAAAATTTTATTTTCAGACAGGGTCTAGCTACATTGCCTAGGTTGCCTTGAATTTGCAACTCTCCTGCCTCAGCCTCCGGTTTAGCTAGGATTGCAGGCATGTGCCGCTGTGCTCATCAGAAACACACACACACACACGCACACACACACACACACACACACACCCCAACCTTTTCAGTGAAAATAATTTTAGACCTCAAACACCCTTCAAATGCTTCAGAACATAAAATGACCAGTAGGGAGTCTCCAGTTTTTGAAAAAGCTATGAATGCTCTTGCAATAACATTCTAAAACCAATGTAGATTGATTAGGGTAATTAAAAAATTGATGAACCAAAATAAAAAAACCTCAGAGACCCCAAAACAAATAACTTCTGTTTCCTACCCTTAAGTTTAGGATTTTGAGTCTTTGCTTCCTCATTGTTCTTAACTAACTGTAATAATGGCACAGCATTCAGCCAGTGAGCTCCCCTTTGTGATCTCTGTGAGTAAACATGGATTAATTATGCTTTCTCATTTCTCTGGTGGCAGGAGAAAAATGCCTTTCTGTAATGATGGACTTTGCCACTTATGAAAAGCTTGTCTACAAACATGAATTACGTACTTTGCCTCCTTTATTTTACTTTATTTAATTATTTTTTAAAGAGCCAGAGCCTGGCTGTGTTGTCCAGGCAGCCTCAGACTCCTTGGCTCAAGTGATCCTCTGGCTCACCCTCCTGAGAGGCTGGGGCTACAGTGTGTGCCACCATGCCTGGCTTTGTGTCTTTCAAACTACTTATATACCTGAAAGTGTTTTTCCCCTCTCCAATTCCTTAGGATGCAAAAATTGAAGCAGAAGAGTTTACTACGAAACTGTATATCGAACTCAAGTCGTCACCTCAGCCTCACCTAGTTCCTTTCCTTAAGGTAGTGTTATGTGTTTCTTTGAAGGCATTTTTTATGTAAGATTTCTTAAAATATTTTAAAGATTGAATAGTTCACTATGATAGTAATTCAGTGTGAAGTTGCTCACATTGTGGGACAAACCTTTGTAAACTGTAAAGCAAGCACATTCATAATATTGTTTTCATTTGAACATTTTTGAAAAATAAGAATAACATTGATGAACATAACTTGATGGTGTTGTTTAATACTCGAAAAGGCATATATTCAAGAGATTGTTGACACACGTGTGTGAAAACGGGGTCTTCTGTTTTGTTTAACGATTCACTTTCTCCTAGAATTAAAAACCACATAGTATCACATTTCCTGTGATGGTTATAATTTTGAAGAATTAATTTGTATAAGAGCTTGTTCAGGCCTAAAAATCTATTTAGATTCCTAAAAGTTACAAAGGAGTTAAATTGAAATTTATAAAGTCATTAAAGAACTCACAGCTATTATGAACCAGCACCATCCCCATAAGTTTGGATGTAATAGCATCGAGTTGCCTTCTGAACATTTTGGAGTAAATGTCCTGGGGAGATGAAAGGGGCTGCGTAGTTAAGACTCCTTTTGTTGACTCGCAAAAGAAGGGGGACAGAGGATGGGAGCACCCCGTTTTCATAGGATATTTGTAGCAGAAACTGTTTCTGAGAGAGTGACCAAGTTGATGAGGAGGGTGCAAATCATGCTATGTAAAGTGTGAGTGAACTGAGAGTGTATTTGCCAGAGAGGATTTGGGCTGAGGAAGGGAACTTGAAGGTTCAGTTCAGTACCTTGTATCACTTGTGTGAAGCGCACAGCCTTGTGAAAGGAATTTTGTCTCTTTAAACTTCTAGAGCTTATAGCTAGGGTTGGATAGATTTGTCTAAAAATGTAATGGATTATTTGTGAAATGACTCATCCTCTTCCTGGATGTCCCACTTGACTGAGAAGTTAGAGGCCTTCTTCCCAGGTTCCTTTCATTGCAAAGCTTCTTGAGCTCCGAGTGCAGTATAGAACAATGACAACTCTTTCTAGTTTTTGAGTTGTACTCATTGGGTGCGCGGAGGGAGAAGGAAGAAAGACTGACCACCTACAATGTGACAGCACTGGCGTTAGCTTTTCATTACTATAACAAATACCTGAGATAAACTTTTAAAGAAAAAAGTTTTATTTGACTCCCAGTTGTAGAAGCTCTGGTCTGTGACCAGTCGGCCCATTGCCATGGTCTTGTGGCAAGGTAGCACATCATGCCAAAAGTGTTTGGCAGAGTAAAATCTTTCACCTCAGGGCTGGGAAGAGAAACAGAACGAAGAAGATAACAGGGTCCCACAGCCTCCTTTGAGCCAGGCCCCCTGTGACCCAAAAATGAAGCCGTGCCTAGGCCCCACCTCCTAACGTTCCTGTTGCCTTCAGGTAGCACCATGTTGAGGGATACCCAAGATCTGACCCACTGCAAATGATCCCCTAAGTTCTTTTACGTGATGTGCACTGTGTGTATTTGGTTACTGTATCACTCAGAGTATGTACTAGGGAATGGTTTTCATTTTAGAGAGGACAAAACCACTTAGATTGGCTAACTTTAGAGCAAACTCACAGGTCTAGAATTTATTTGACTCTACTTTAAATTATAAAATAATACCATGGAGGATTTGTGCTTTGTGTTTGTTTTCTAAAAAATCCTCAGGGTTTTATTTTCCTTGTATTATTTTTTTTCATCCTTGAGAGCTTTAGAGGGGATGTATTTTGCACAGAGAGTAGGGATTCAGCATTTTTAACTTAACTCTGCTCAGGTAATCAAAGAGATAATTCAAATATACATTTACATTATCTCTTTAAGTCTCATTACTTTAAAATTTCTTTCCAATTATGTTTTCCTGATAATCGCTCTTGGATTTCCAATTTGAACTTGTCGCTTTCCCCATACATTCCTAAAGCAGTTTATTTTCTGCCAGTTTTGAATTTTAGAAAAAGATTATGGGGGATTTTACATATATAAATTTTGAAAATCTCCCCAGATAGTATTGTGAATTCCCTCCCTTCCCCTCCCTCCTCTTGTGAATGAAGTGGAACAATAGTTCACCTTTACTTAAGAGGGGACTGTGGTTTTATTTTTGTTCTTTATACTTGTTTCTTGAGTACTTCCATTATTTCTAGCTCTCAGTAGACAGTCTGGCTGAATGTAGGTGTTACAACAAGGTAATCTTCCCAAACAGTCAATGAAGATAATCTTTACTACCCATCTAGTGTTGTGTCTTTTCCTTAGATGTGACAACCCCAGGCATGAAAAGGCACGATATTCATTTTAGACTCTACTTTTTCAGTAGGTTGCAAAGATAGACACTGACTTCAAATCTGGTCAGAGAATATGCCACCTCAGTTATGGAAATGTTTTTGGATCTTGAAATTTATTTTGAATTAGCTTTATTTTGGTATAAAGACTAATTTTTGTCTAAATTTGGAAAGTTATTTAACAAAAGACCTAGATTCGATTGTGTTGTAAATAACTTAGATGTTGTGGTTACTAATGATCTATTATAGCTTCAGATGAATACAGAGAAGTGTGATCCAGTGTTTTATTTTACCAAATTGATAATTGAGGTATCCAAAGTAAGTTTCATATTGAGTTGTGATAATTTCATATTGAAAAATAAAGTACCGTTTGGCTTTAAATTGATTGTATCATGGATACTGATAGGATAAAATAAGGGGTATTGAAATATTGATACACTTTGGATTTGCTTTATCTTACTAAAACAACAAATAAAAATTTTGTGCTGGAGATATAGCTCATTGGTAGAGTGCTTGCCTAAGATGCATGAAACCCTGGTATATATTTCAATCCCTGCACAAAATTTTATGTTAATAATTTATCAGTGTATTCTTTTTCTGTCTGTATTTCTAGAAAAGCATGATTGCCTTACGACAGCTTCTTCCTGACTCCCAGAGCTTCATTCAGCATTGTGTTCAGGAAACTTCCAGCGAGGCTGTCTTTGCCACCCATACCCCAACAGGAACAGCTCCTCCTGTGGTGACAGCTGCAAGGTCCTCTGCCCAAACTGAAAAGCCCATCATTGTTTCTGCAGCAACAGTGCCCACACCTGTGTCTGTGCAAACTCTGAATCCACTTGCTGGACCAGGCGGAGCAAAAACTGGCCTTGTGACCCTGCATTCTGTGGGCCCGGCTGCTGTGCCAGGGGGAACAACAGCTGGAACTGTTCTGCTCCAGACCTCAAAACCTCTCTTTACATCAGTACCAAATGCAGTAACAACAGTCTCGCTTCAGTCTGAGAATCCAGTTGTTTCTGGAGCAGCAGTAACACTGGCTCTTCCGTCAGTAACTTTTGGAGAAAAGTCAGCTGCAACTCTTTGTCTTCCATCAGTTAAAACAGTTGCTGCTTCTGCAGGTACCATGTTGGACAAGCCTGTCATTGGCGCTCCCGTCCAAATCAAACTCGCCCAGCCAGGCGCCCTCCTGTCACAGCCAGTTGGGTTTCCGCCAGCCGTCAAAGTCAAGCAACTAGTGAGTAACATTCTGTTTCTTCTTTAGTCACTTATTTGGAAATTTTCAAGCATTCAGAAAGCTGGCGAGACTAGTAAAAGACTGCATACCCTTTATCAAATCGAAGCAGTTGTTAATTTTTATCTGACATGCATTGTTTCCTGCTTAATATTCACATGCATGTGCCCCCCCCCGTATTGGGAATTAAACCTGGGGCCTTTGCACTGAGCTACATCCCTGGTTTTTATTCTGTGCTTCCAGACAGTGTCTCACTAAATTGCCTAGATTGAGCCCAAACTTGCAGTTTTCTTGCTTGAGCCTCCCAGAGTGCTGGGACTCTAGGTGTGTGTCACCACCACTTTTTGTTGCGTCATTATTTCAGAATTGATGCCAGTGCACCCCAAAATATTGTGTATATTTCTTAAAGGGAAGAGTTTTTCTTTTTTCCAGTCTTGGCAAACGCTGTACCACTGAGCTATATCCCCAGGATACAAAAGAATTAGTTTATGTTTTACATAACAGAACGTATAGTTACATAGCAGATGTTAATATTAGTACAGCATTTCCCAGTTATCCCAGTAATTATCTTTTAACATTGTTTTTTTGTGATCTTGTTTCAATTGAAGAACTGCTTATTATGTACATTTAGCTATTTATCTTTGGCTCGCTAATCTAAAACAGTTCTGCAACTTCTTGTGGTTCTTCATTATATGGTAATATTTTAAAGGCCTGGGCTAGTAATGTTGTAGGATATTCCTTTATTTTGTCTGAACATTTGCTCAAGATGAGATGCAGTTTAAATATTTTGGGAAGGGATATTACATAGGTGATTGTATGATAACATTTGTTTACAAAAAAGTACTGAAGGGAGAAGGAAACAGAGGGATATAAAATAAGTTGTGTTTTTCCTAAACTTTAGGGTAGGAGGTTCTTGAATGAAAGAAGGACGTTTTAGCTATCTATTGATTATTTGATGTTTAGAATGCTCTTTATTCACATAAGACAAGCTTTAATCAGAAGACTATAAAAGAATTGTTAACCCATGGGAAATAGTACATAGTAAATTCATTAAAAGTAATGTTTCTTTGTAAAATTCCTTCCTTTTTCATAATGTGTCAGAGCAGGCTGATTTCTTTACTATTTGATGATTGCTCTTGCTTTCTTTGATAAATCTTTGTGTTAGAGGCTATGTTTTGAATCTTATTGTTTGTTTGTTTTTTTGAGACAGGGTATTGCTTTGTAGTTCAGGCTGGCGTTGAACTCACTATGCAGTCCAGGCTGGTCTTGAAGTTGTGGTGATCCTCCTGCCTCAGCCTCCAAGTGCTGAGATTATAGGCATGCACCAACCTACCTGGCCTCACATCTTTTTTAGTTTATTCTGCCTCTTGCATGTATTTCTCAGCCTTGTTTGTATGATCAAGAATACAGGCTTGGGCCGGGGATTTAGCTCAGCAGTTCCACCGCCTGTCTTGCAAGCTCAAGGACCTGAGTTCAGTCTCTGGTACCAAAAGAAAACAAAACTAATACGGCTATCATTTATAGGTGATCATCTTTTGAGGTAGAAGGGCAGCTGTGGACACACAAAGAAAGGAGAAGCTTAGGTGACCAGAGCTGGAGGGAGTCTAAGTCATAGGCAGCTGGGAAGTGTAATAGTTATTTACCAGAGGGTGACTATTATGTCTTTTCTTATCCTTTCCTTGTCTGAGTCTGATTTTTTGTTTGTTTGTTTTGTTTTTTGTTTTTTTGAGACAGGGTCTCCCTATGTAGTTAAGACTGTCCTGGAACTTACTATGTAGCCCATGCTGGTCTGGAGCTCACAGTGATCCTCCTGCCTCAGCCTCCCCAGTGCTGGGATTATAGGCGTGTGCCACCACGCCCAGCCTGAGTCTAATTTTAAGGAGAAATATGTATTTTCTCTTTGGATTTCTTTGGGGAGGCTGAAATTAATCTCAGGTGTGAAACATTTTTTAGAAGCAGTCGTTGTTACACAGTGTTCAGATAGCCAGGTTTGGGAACCACTGGAGCAAATGAGTTGCCCCAGGAGAGGCACTTTTGGGTAGAGCTGAAGAGTTGAAATTGTTTTTCTGGGTCACAGCTGATTTTTAAGTCAGGGCCATCTTTATTGTTCATATCTAGTACATAGGTCCCTCAGGTGAAGTTTTATTTTGTTGGCTACTAGAGTTCTAAAAGTGTCCTTAGGGTGCTGTAGATTTTTAAATAATTTTGTGATCCTCAAGGACCACAGCTATCACCACAGGAAAAAAACCTAAGATCCCAGAAATTCTGATTGACCCCTCCTATCACAGTGAACAAGTAAAGATGTTCCTCTAACAACCGACCTGGTTAATGACTGTTCAGACTTGGACCCACTACTCAGATTTACAGCCTGTCTTTTTTATGTACAGGTCTGTACATCTTGTTTATAGAGCCCCAGGGTCCTTTTTGGTACGTATACCTCATTTATACAGTACTGTGATTTTTGTGATTGTACTGTACAGTACAGTGCTGTAGTTTTATTTGTTATACATATAGTGCTGCATGGACAAGTTATGCAAATAAAAGTAAAGTCATCAAGTTGGAATTTCTTTGTTCTGAATATTGTAATGTGCATATTCTCTGCAGTTCTTCATTTGATGAACCATTCATTTAATGACCGAGTCCCAGGATCATACCTTGGTTGTTAGACAAGGAGGGTTTATAGTGGATCTCAGCCTAGAACTCTTTAACTTTTCCATTAGATTATAATACTTCCTGTTTCAACTTTAGCCAACAAATTTATGTTAATATCCTTGCCTACCCATTATACAATGGCAAAAAGCACAGAGATAAGACACTGAAAATGCATTGTGAATTTATTTTACAACAGATTTACCTGGGACAAAACAGCCTAAACACTTCTGTATGGTAATGCTGCAGAGGGTTGAACAAGGGTATTTTTTTCAAGTCAGGTAATTTAGAAAATCGGTGTTTTAACTTGTTTGTGTTTATTGTGTTTTTTTTTTTTTTTTTTTTTTTTTTTTTTTTTTTTTTTTTTTTTTTTTTTTTGAGACAAGGGTTCACTATATATTCCAGTCTAGTCTTTAACTCACTATGTGGCTGGCCTTGAACTTGTGACATTTCTGCCTCAGCCCTCAAACTATTGTAATTACAGGTGTGTGTCACCATGCCTGGCAAGTTAAAACTATTTTTAAAAATAAACTTAAATTTAATTTTAATTTGATTGGAAGTAAGGAATATCATTGAGCCCACTATAACCTGTAGTTCAGTTTAATCCTATGTAGGTGAGGAGGAAAATGCTCAGGATGCTAGAAAAGAAGAAAGCATTCTGTGTAGCTTATATAAAATGTGGCAAATAACTTAAAACAAGAGAATTGCTATGCTGTATCTAATCTGTGGTTGGTGCAACCCAGTATGGTGTAAAGAATATGCATGTGGCTATCTTGCTTAATGTCAGGTTTAGAGTCTTTATCATTTATTTCCTTTAATGATTGTGGATTTAATTCCTTCTGAGTATTTCTTGATTCCAGTAGTAGATCTGGAGAATTGTATAGGTTTCCTGCTTCTTGGATAAGATCTTTAAATATTGCGTTTTCACATTATAAGAAGACTCCCATGACTTTAGACTTTATTAGTATTTGTTGACTTATTAGTATTATTATTAGTATTAGGTTTAGACTTTATTAGTATTTGTTGAAATTATTCATTTTTAATCTATCTACTACCACTGTAAAAAAGATGTTTTTATCATTGCATGCTATTTTTCTGTCTCATTGACTGTTACATTTTACTGTACTTGAGGGTTCTGCTAAAGCTTTCAAGAAAATTAACTGGAACATTCAGTTTATTTTAGGTGAAAGCTTTTCATTTTGTACTGAAAAGGTTGAAATGTTGAAACATGGGACCTAATCAGTAGTTCTGGGGATTGTAAATAAGTATTTAGTTCTTATTAATGAATTCAGTTCTTATAAATAGTTAATCTTACTGGTTATCTATCATTTGGAGCACAGTCATTATATAGTATTATACACTCAAATATTGAACTTGATATTTAAAAACTAATGAAAGAGCAGATGAATTGGATCATGGATTACTAGATAATAAATAGATACTTTTAGGAGACCCCTGGTGCTTGAAATTTTTCCTTTGGATATTTGTGAAAAAACTTGTTTGAGCAAAAGCTAAATTAAATTAAATTTTAATTAGCAAACTTAATTTAGAAAAGTTAAATTTTAATTTCATTGAACGCATTTTTGAAATTTAAATTTTGATTAGTTTTATAAATAATTTCACTCATAAGATTAAAAATAAACCCCCTTGCCAGGAGTGGTGGTGCATGCCTGTAATCCCAGCACTCGGGAGGCTGAGACAGGAGGATCGCTGTGAGTTCGAGGTCATCCTGGGCTACAAAATGAGTTCCAGGTCAGTCTCAACTACATAGTGAGACCCTGTCTCAAAAAAAACAAACAAACAAAACAACCAAAAAAAAAAAAAAAAACCCCCTCAAATCCATAGTATATGTAAATAAAATTCATGAACGAGAAAATTAATTCAAAATTGCTGACATTTATTTTTGCCAAGGAAGGCAGAGATAGTTTTGGAAAGCTGCTACTCTTGGTAATCTACTGATCACTTAAAATAATTTTTACTTAGAAATAGGGTAAGAAATTTTGATGTCATTGAAAATATTTTCCTATTTTTAAGTATATATTTCTTTAACTATATTACTTGCATTTCTTCTTTAACAGTATCACAGAATTTTTTTTTTTTTTTTTTTTGCGGGGGGTACCAGGGATTGAACTCGGGTCCTTGCGCTTGCAAGGCAGGCCACCAAACTGCTGAGCTAAATCCCTGGCCCCTTATATCACAGAATTTGATAAATAAGTGGCCAAGTATTTTGAACACTCATTTTCCAATTATCACAGTTTTGTGCATATAAGAGAAAAACAGATAATAAGTATTTGAACATTATCAATGTGGTAACTCACTTTCGTGAATTCCTAAAATACAATGATCCTGAATAG